ACACCACGACTGTGTGTGTGTGTGTGTGTGTGTGTGTGTGTGTGTGTGTGTGTGTGTGTGTGTGTGTGTGTGTGTGGCAAATCAGTGCCCACGTGACACTTCACCCTGCCAGAGACACATTTCATTATCACTGTTACATCTACCTCCTACAATCCAATGTCCCAGCTCCTCATGCCCCTCTTCCATGTCCACACCAGGAACTGATCCAACTCCCACTGAGGTAAATGGAATGAGATGGATCAAGCCCTGAGATTGTGGTACAGACTCCCACTCCATATGCCCCCCCCCCCCAGTCATAACCCCATCTCAATCCTTCTCGTCTCTCCCCCAGCATCTGCTTCGTTCCCTCTCCTGATCCACCCTTAAACCCTAAATCACCCCATAAACCCTCTCTCAGCCATTCCTCTCTGCCCCATCTCCAGTGCAACCCCTTATTCCCTTGCCCGCAATGCACCCCATAAGTATGTCTCCCTGATCCAAAGGTTCACCCCCCCTCCCCTTAGCCCTTCTCTGGATCCCCCTCCCAGTGCACCGAATCCACCCCCTTTACCTCCCAAGGAGAATAGAGATTTGTTCATTTTCACCAGCCCTAGTCTCTGGTTACCAAGGAAACTAAAGAATCACCCCAGGGAGCCCAGTGTGTTTCCTAGCAACTCTCAGGCTAAAAATCCTCCATTCCGCATCTTGTAACATAAAGAGGGACACACACACACACACACACACTCTCTCTCTCTCTGTTAAACAGAAAGAATGCAACAAAAATAGAATGGTCTCGTGAATGCAGCACCTACTACTGGGAACCTTCTAAGCCACTGGAAAAGGCGGGCAGGTGAAATCTGAGCATCTCCACCAAAAGATGATCAGAAGAGAAACTAGGTGCCAAGAATCTTGCAGGCTAAGGCCGTGCACAATATTATTTGTAACAGTAGTCATAATAATTGCAATGCAGAAGGAAATGAAAATCTAAACACAGGGCACAGTGCAAACAAAGCGGAGACAAAACACAAATATATTGGAAAGGCTTTTGCAAATCAAGCACAAATAAACTGTAAACATAGTAAAAAAAAAAGCAATAATAAAATGCAAGTAGTTTGCAAAGATTCTACACAAACACACACAACCCCAAACAGTCACAAAACGCATCTACATTGCAACGATATTAGGAATCGGAACTAAAAGGCAAGCCTAAGACTAACTCTACTGCCGAGACTTATGCAATGAAATCTAATCGGCACGAAGGACACCCGCGTCAGTGCAATCCAACCAGGGGCATCGCAAGAAACTCGGCATTTGCCGATGCAGCCTCCCCGGAGCTGCACCTTCAACAGCAGCAGCGCAAAACACAACCCCCAGCAACTCCATTCAAGGGTTTGGGGCCGGGCCACTTTCCCTGCCAAGCCCGGGCCGGAGTTACTAGGATGCTAGGGAGGGAGCGGGCGGAGCAGATGTCACGGAGCTCGGTTACTTACACCAACACATAGGGGGGAATTTCCAGCGGGCAGAATGAAGCGCTCCCCGGGAGACATGTCCATGGTCAGAAGCGCGCGGCCCCGATCCTGGCACCCAAGGCGGCGCTGGGGGCTAAACTCGGCGGCTCAGGTGCTCCCACCCGCCGGTCCGTACCGGCACCAGAGAGGATGCAGGCCCGTGCTCTGCATCTGCAGCCATTGCCTCCTCCTCAGCAGCATCCTCCCGGCCCCGGCCCTGCGCGCAGTAGCATGGGAAGGCGGCCGGGCTCCTCTCTCGCCCACCTGCCCGGCAGGGCCCTGCTCCCAGCTGGGGCTGCCCCAAGGAACGCTCCGGGCTGCGGTGTCGCTGAGCCCGCGGGCGCTGCAGTTCCCGGCACGGCTCGCCCACCTCCCTCTTTTCATTCACAAAAACAAGAACCAGCCACAGGCCCCGCCTCTCTCTCCCCCCGGCTGCCCATTGGCTGAGAGGGGGAGCAGGGGCACTTCCTGTGCCAGGCCGGCCTGGGCAGAGGCAGATCAGCCAACGGGTGCGGGGTGGGGAGGAGACAGCGCAGGTGCCCTGAATCTGGGGGGAGTTCGTGGTGCTCTGCCTTTGCTTCTACCACCCTCCCCGTCTATTCTGCACCCCTCCCCGTGCACCTCTTCCCTTCCCTCCATCCCCTGCACCCCTCCCCCTGCACCTCTTCCCTTCCCTCCGTCCCCTGCATCCGTCCCCTGCACCCCTCCCCCCTGCACCTCTTCCCCTCCCTCCCTCCCTCCCCTGCACCCCTCCCCCTGCACCTCTTCCCCTCCCGCCGTCCCCTGCACCCCTCCTCCTGCACCTCTTCCCCTCCCGCCGTCCCCTGCACCCCTCCCCCTGCACCTCTTCCCCTCCCTCCGTCCCCTGCACCCCTCCCCCTGCACCTCTTCCCTTCCCTCCGTCCCCTGCACCCCTCCCCCTGCACCTCTTCCCCTCCCGCCGTCCCCTCGCACCTCTTCTCTTCCCTCCATCCCCTGCACCCCCTCCCCCTGCACCTCTTCCCTTCCATCTATCTCCCTGCATCCTCCTCCACCCACCCACTCCATCTGTACATGCTCCTGTCTCCATCCACCTCACTGCATCTCCATCCGTCCTCCTTCACCGTCGCTATCACCCGCTGCCTGCTCCCAGTTACCATCCCCAGAGGGGACAAGCAGCTCACTCCCTCATTCCTGAGTCCAAGGCTGTTCCCCTGGGAATCTGTTTCTCAGACCTGCGCCCTTTTGCTCTCTGGCCCTCACTGGTAGTTTTTGTCCCTCCCTTGGTTCGGTGTTGCACAGAGGATCTGTCCAAGCTCCTGTTTCCCCACCCCGCAACCCACAGTGGGTCCGTTCTGATCTCCATCTGATCTCCATTTCCACCAGTGGGTCTCAATTCTCTTAGGCAGCTGGGCTTGGACCAATGGCAGCTACTTTTACTCCTGGGGGAATGTTGCGCCACTGTGCGTGCGCAGAAGTCATGTCCCCCACAGATTTCTTCCCCACAGAAAAATGACTTTTTGACAGGGAAGCAAAGGGAAGCCACAAGAGTGGTCCTGTGCTGCTCCCCAGCAGCATGGGCGTGTTGTTTCAGGCGCTTGGAGCAGCCAGCGGAGTGGAAAATCACAGGAGGGGTGGGGTGGGCAGGGCTGAGGATGCCCCGGACAGTGGCTCCTACCCTGTACCAGGCTCAGCTACTAATCCTGGCTGGGCTGGAGAGGACGGGACTTCCTCTTCCCCTGCAAGGAGCGGCCAGGGCTGGAACAGACCCACCCCTGGAAACCTCTCTGGCTGCTGTAAGTACTGTCCCCACCCCCACCTCCTGCCCTCATTGCTCCTCAGCTGTGGAGGGGAGGGGATCACTGTATGAGGAGCTGCTCCCACATCCTCGCAACCCCTGTGCATCCGGACCCACTTCATACCCAGATTGCCCCACCAAGCCTCACTCCCCGCTCCCAGATTCCCCCCCCCACTGACCTCCCTGAACCTGAACCCACACCCTGACAAGCCTCACTCTCTGCACACAGAGCCCCCCTGCACCCAGATCCCCCCCACCGAGCCCCACTCCCTGAATCTGGACCCATCCCTGCATCCAGACCACTCCCTGCACTCAACCCCCCACCCAACAAGCCCCACCCCACTTGCACCTGGACCACCCTGACTAGTCCTCTGCACCCAGACTCCCACCCCACTGAACCCCACCAAGCCAGCACCTGGACCCCCCCTCAACCACCTTCAGCTGCACCCAGAACCCCCTCCCCGCCACAATGAGCCCCTGTTCATCCAAATCTCCCTCGAACCCAGACCCCCCACCATGCTGCCCGCACCCAGATTGCCCCACACAGAACCTTATCACCCCACATCTGGATCTCCCTACACTAAATCCTTCCATACCTGGATCCTGCTGGGCTGAGCCTGCCTGCCTACATCTACTGTGCTTGGCACGGAGGGGCAGGGCCCCGGGGTGTTTCTGGGACAGTCTTGGTCCTTGTGCTCTGTCAGGATCGGGTGCAACTTTACCGCCGAGTCCATATCTGGGGGAGAGGGGGCGCAGGGTGATCTCCTACCCCTGTGCAGCCAGTGGCCTGTGCTCCCCACTGCCATGCTGGAGCCTCCCCATTTATTTATCGACAAATAGAATTTTCAGAATTTTAAAATATTGTGTGCAGAATTTTACATTTTTTGGCGCATAATTTTAAATGTTTTGGTGCAGAATACCCTCAGAAGTATACTTTGCAGGCTGGACTGCCACTGGCAGAGCGTCCCATGGGGGCCTGGTGAAGGATGCTGCATTGATCAGGAGCGGGACAGCTCTGATAGGGAGACCCCTCACCCCGTCACGAGTGAGGCTGCGGCTCAGGAGTTTCTGGATGGCTCAAGGGAGCCGCACTGTGATAGAGATCTGTACAGGGATGGGACAGGTCACAGACTGAACTCTCCTCCGACCTGGAGGTGTGGGTTGAGGCAGTATGTGGAAATCTGCCTGTGCAGGGGTAGCGGGAAGAATTCTCCGTCCTGGGTTACACAGGAGGTCAGACTAGCTGATCTAATGGTTCCTTCTGGTCTTGGAAGCTATGAATCTTTACAACAGCCTTCGGGGCTGTCAAACAGGCACCTCTGGTCACTCAGCCCCACCAGCACCTAACAAGGTGAGTTGCCCTCTCTCACTGACCCAGCTCCCTGGCCCCTTCTCACCGATCTGCTCACTCCCAGCTCCACCCACTCCATGATCTTCCCACTCCACGCCAGCTCTGCTGCACCCATCTCACACCTCTCCACTGCTTCCCCCCTCAGACTCATCTCTGCGGTCCCTCTCCCCAGCCCCTCTGCACTGCCCCCGCTTGCTGCCTCCCAACCCAAGGACAGAGCAGAGAGACTAAAAACTCTA